CTTATAAAATTGTACAGGAACTGTTAGAAAAAATCGTGTTGCGGGTGCTTACTTACCAGAGAGAATGAAAAAAGGTGAAAGCTCTGTCGTGTTTGATGAAACAAATGAAGTTTTAGCGATTCGATGGAAAGACAATGCACTTGTAACTGTTTTCACAAACCATGGAACAATCGAACCATTTGCAAATGCAAGACGCTACGATGGCAAAGAAAAAGCGTATACTAATAACAAAATTCCAAACACAATTGCACAATACAATAAGCATATGGGTGGCGTGGACTTGCACGATAACGCTTTGGCAAATTACCGCATTGCATTGCGATCAAAGAAATGGTGGTGGCCCTTGTTTACGAATTTACTTGGTAACATGATGGTTAATGCTTGAAAGATTCACGTGTTAGTTACAACTCAAGAAAAAGAAAAGCCACTGTCTCAACTACAATTTCGTGCAAGTGTTGTAAATGAGTTATTGGTCTCCGTAAGAAAAGAGACGCAACTTCAATTTTCTGCATCCACTTCAAACCGGTCTACATCGTCAAATCTGAGAAATTTGAATAAAACAGTTCATTGCATAGAAAGAATGCCAGGAAATCCGAGGCGATGTGTTCATTGCCATACTCATACTCCATTTCAATGTGTTGTCTGCAATGTTTGATTGCACCAGAAATGATTTTCTTTGTATAAAAAACATGTCTTATAAATATTTTTTATCCACATAGTACAAAAATACAACTTTTGATTCAAACCTATACTAAAGTATTTACAATTATCAATAAACATATCGGCCCAGTGGTAAGTGGAATTACCATGCCATAACTCGGGAACGGTAGGTACCATTTGTATGAAACTTGAAACCTACCTTAATTAGACCTAACAAGAGCATCGTGTAAGATTTGAGCAAAATCGGTTGACAGGATCGGGTACCAGGCAATAATGGGTTAAAAGAGGTTCCAGTTTCCTCTCCTAATGTGTGCAAATTTAGACACCTGTTAATAAAATTAAAAACTGCCTGTTTACTTTTACATATCAAATTTGTCGCATAGAGCAAAATTACACATCAAATGTACTTAATTTTTATTTTTTAAAGGGACTGTATTTTTGCGTTAAAAACGTTTGCAACTATAAACATTTCGTGTGTGTTTTTTAAACATCTCATGTTAAAAAATCCAGTCTTAAACATCTTATGCGTATTCTTACACAGATTTTGTTTAAAATGAACACTTTTCAGTAGCATTTTTACATGCAGTTTTTAGAGAGTATAAAAAAAATGGCGGAACGAACACTGAAGCAGCACTGACGATGAAAAAACGGCATTGTGCCGGATGGTCTGAACAACTCTATTTGGAACTGCGGCAAGGATATTATATTTTTCACTGACACTGATAGGTACGGCACTGATATGTGTAGATAGACTTTTATTGTAAAAATCACCTACATACATATATGATTGATTTGAGGTCGATAAATAAAAGCAGATCTAATTCCGATTGCAGGCAACGTTTCTATTTGCGCCGCTGCTACTATTCTCCGATTACGGGCCGTTTGGCTTGACAAATTTCTTTTAGCTTTAGGCATTTTTAAACACTTCGCACTATTCTGTTATTTCAAAGATTTGTTTTATATTTAGTAACGAAATTCCACTTTGTATAAGCCAAAAAACTCAGCCTTTAACGCACTTGCTAATTTATCAACTTCGCCAAAACAATGTGCCGAATTCCCATGGTGCCCAACAAATAGACATATACTACGTTTATGCGTAAGCTATTTGCAAATAAAAATAATATGCAAATACCTAACTCACTGTTTATTCGATGGTGAAAAATTCTTTTTTGATATTGCCTGATTATAAAAAGGCAATAATATGACCATCGGAAAAGAAAATAAAGTTAAAAATGGCAACGTCTTGATTATAAAAAGGCAATAAGATGACCATCGAAAAAGAAAATAAACCTAAAAATGGCGGCGTCTTGCGCTTATTTGCAAATAGTACCACTAATCAATACTTTGCGTGATTTAGTTATTTGCAAATAAAAAATTAACTCAGCGTTTATACGGCAAATTTTACCATTTTGCAAATTGTTATTTGCAAATAATACGTGCGTATAAACGTAGTAATACATATGTACTATTGTGCATGCCACTTCAGCGTTGGAAAAATGGAATTCGGCTGGACAGAGGCAGGATTCCCACAAAAAACCGGGCTAAATAACTTTACCATATCAATTCTAATTTGAACATAGTTATGTACATATGTATGCATGTATTAAGTCTAAAAGCCTGATTATGGCAACTTAATTCAACTTAACGGAACGTAGAACTTGGATAATCACAATGAAACAGATTTCGACGTGGCATTAAGATAGGTTAAGTTTCAGCTGTTCAATTATAAGCAACACCCATTTAATATAAGAATTTTTAAGAGAGAGCTGTAAGTTACTTTAAGTTGCCACAATCAGACCATAACTCAATTGATTGAATGTTAATCTGCTTGTTGCATTTGCATGAAGCGAAACACACATTTCTTTGCTGTTATTTTTTCTGTATGCTACTACAGCGATGTAAAATAACCCTGCAAAAATTTGAGGACCAGGTGGTCCACTGGGTCGTGGTTTTAAAGTATGTGCAAAAGGACCAGGTTGCATACTAGTAACTTGTTATGCTGACCTGGACCACTTCAAACGCAAAAACCTGATATATGTGTTGAGAGTTTGTTAGTTTACCTGAAGTCCTTAAAGCAGTCTTTTAGTTATGGTCCTGACCAGATCCCCACTTGTTTTCTTAGAAATTGTGCTGATTATCTCTATGAGCCGTTAACAGCCTTATTTAATTTGTCTCTTAAAGAGGGCGTTTTTCCAACTGTATGGAAGGAATCGTTCATAACCCCCTTACATAAAAGCGGTAGCAGGTCTTCAGTGGAGAACTACCGGGGCATAGCTAAGCTTTCTGCAATTCCTAAATTATTTGAAGCAATTATAACAAATCGGTTGACGCATTCTATCACTTCAAGCATTTCATACAGTCAACATGG